AAAAAAAAAAGAAAAAGAAAAAAAGAAAGGGCTGGGTATGTGGCCCAGTGGTTAATTCCTGGTACCAAAACAAAAAAATAAAAACATGAAAAGCCCTGGGATGTGGATCAGGGGAAAAGAGACCCTTGTTTCAATCCCTGATACAAAAAATAAATAGGCAAAGCAATCTACAGAGACAGTGGTTAGGGCTGTCATTAGGTCAAGGTGGGAGGGGGCATGCAAGAACCTCTGGTAGAGGAAACATTCCCCACATTTTTTTTTTTAAGTCGTAGATGGACACAATACCTTTATTTTATTTTTATATGGTGCTGAGAATTGAACCCAGTGCCTCACATGTGCTAAGTGAGCGCTCTACCACTGAGCCACAACCCCAGCCCCAACATTCCACACCTTAAATAATTTAGGAGTTGCTCCATGGAGGTGCACATAACTTAATGAACTGCATTGCAGTGAACTGCACTTCCMATATCTGCACACTTCACTGTAGGCTGAGAACAATGCAATTTTAGGAAATGACTACAAAACAAAAGAACAAGTTCTGACAGGCTAATGAACTTGCTTTGGACAAACAGAAAAGACAAGGAAAAAATAGAACAAAGACAGGAAGAAAAAAAATAGAACAAAGCAGGACCCTTGTAGACATCAGTATCCATGGATACCGCTGAGGAAAGAAACCTCAACTGCAGCCTGGGATAAGAAAACTGGGAGAGGCCAGGAGATTGACCTCAGGTCACATAGCAAGTAGGGTGTTGGTGCTGGGAGGGGCAGTCTGGTCCACAAGGGCAGAGACTGAAGGTTGTCCCAGGGATTAAATGAGGAGATGCTGACGAAGGCTTGGTCAGCACTTGGCACCTAGCCACTCAATGAGCTCTTCCAGGTGTTCCAAGGTATTATTACACTTAAGGCCCTGCCTACTCTGGGGTACTGAGTTGATGCAGCCAGGTCTAAATCTTCACTGGGGTTGGGGTCATGTGCACCTATAGTTCCAGCTACTCCAGAGGCTAAGGCAAGAGGATTGCTTGAGCCCAGGAGTCAAGGCTTGGAAAACATAGACCCTATGTTATGGTCTATTAGGAGCCCCCCAAAAGCTCAAATGTGAGATCACGTAACAACATTCAAAGTGAAATGATTGAGTGATGAGAGCTTTAACCTCAATCGGTGAATTAATCCCTTGATGGGGATTAACTTGAGTGGTAACTGAAGGCAGGTAAGGTGTGGCTGGAGGAGGTGGGGCATTGGAGGGCATGCCTTTGGGGTGTGTATTTTATATTTGACAAGTGTAGTCTCTCAGCTTGCTGATAATGTCCTGAGCTGGGTTTTTTTCCTGATTCATCCTGGACCCTGAGGAATGGAGCCAGCTGTCTATTGACTGAGACCTCTCAGACTGTGAGTCCCAAATAAACTTTTCCTCCTCTAAAGTTGTTCTTGTCAGGGTTTTTTGTCACAGCAGCAAAAACCTGACTAAAACACCCTGTCTCAACAAAACAAAACAGAAAAACTTCTGGGCATGGTGGCTCACCCCTGTAATCCCAGCAACTTGAGGGGCTGAGGCAGGAGTATCACAAGTTCAAGTTCAGCCTGGGTAACTAAGTGAGACCTTGTCTCAAAATAAAAAAGGGGTGAAAATGTGTGGTGAAGTACCCCCTGAGTTCAATCCCAGGACCAGTAAACAAACAAACAAATGAACAAAGCAGCTCTTTACAGGTATGTCAAAATATGTTGCTAAATTGGGAAAAAAAAAAAAAAAGAATGAATATAGATTCCTCATGTGTAGATGTGCCATGAAAACAACACATACAAATTACCTATTTGTTTGTAAATCCTAAAAAAAAAAATCTCTGTAGAGCATCCAAGCAACTAATAACGGTGGCTGCCTCTAGAAAAGGCAAACAAGGGGACTGGGGCTGCAGCTAGGGTAGAAAGCCTGCCTAGCAGATGTGAGGCCCTGGGTTCTATCCCCAGCACCAAAGAAAGAAAATGGCTACTGAAGGAGTGATACTGTTCACTACACACCATTTGAATTGCATACCATGTGAAAAAATTATGAATTTACATACATCAATAAAACACAAAACAAACAGTGCTGCTTGGGCCTAGAGCTAAGGGAAAGGGGCATTGGTCTTTCCAAGTCACACAGGGATGACAGAGGTGGCCTGGCCCAGGTAGAAGCAGCCTGGAGCCAGCCTTCTGAGCTGGGAGAGAGGAATGGACCAGAGATTCTCATATCACCTCTTTTCTGTGATGGGACAGAATCTTGACACAGGTAAATAGCTGGGGGATTTATTTTAAATAGCACAATGTGTGAGCCCAGAAGCCCAGCTGATCAGCACAAGGAGGTGCAGGGAGTCAGTCACCAAATATAGCAACAGCTTTGTGTCTGACAGATCCAATTAGAACCTCAGTACTGTTACTTAGGGAGGACTAGGGGACCAGAGCAAGCAACTCAGCTCTAAGTTTCAGTTTCTTTTTTTTTTTTTTTAAATATTTATTTATTTTTTAGTTATTGGCGGACACAACATCTTTGTTTGTATGTGGTGCTGGAGGATCGAACCTGGGCCGCACGCATGCCAGGCGAGCACGCTACCGCTTGAGCCACATCCCCAGCCCCTAAGTTTCAGTTTCTTCACCAGTAAAATGGGCAGAGAGAATTAAGTGATGTGATTAGGGCACCTGGCTGGCACAGGGTCATATCAGCAATCCACATGTACAGAAAAGTGCTGGCACATCCAGGTAGGGTTTAACAATGAAGAGGCAAGTGCCCACATAGCCAACATGAGGGGAGTCCTCAAGCCTCTGCACATCCCTTTCTGATCCAATCCTCTCCCTCCCTCAGAGGTACAGTTCCCTGATCAGGGCATGAGTTTTATATGTATCTGGCATCAATTATTTAACATTATGTTGGAAAGATTATTGCACTCGGTGCATGCCTGTAACCTCAGCAAGTTGGGAGGCTGAGACAGGAGGATCACAAGTTCAAGGTCCACCTCAGCAATGTAAAAAGCAATTCAGCAGGACTCTGTCTTAAAAAAAAAAGTCGGGGGGACTGCTGGGGATATAGCACCCTGGGTTCAATCCCCAGTATAAAGAAGGGAAAAAAAAAAAAAGAAACTGAATCTAGCTGTAGATTTCATTTTCATTTATTAATAGTATKAATAGTTGATGACATGGGTATCCATTTTATTGTTTAATCATTCCAGTTTAGGATTATTACAGACAATGCTGCTAATGGTGTTTTTCTGCATGTATCTGGATGTGCATGTCTCTAACCCTATGAACAGAAGTGCTGGATCATGGGTTACATTTATCTCCCATTTTACTAAATAATATTTCCCAGAGAGGCCATTGAGGGCTTATTTACTAACCTTTATATAAACACTGCTACCATCTGGTGGCAGCAACATGTATTGCAGGAAATGGAACATAAAAAAGCCATTTAAGAGCTGGGTTGTGGCTCAACACTAGTGCGAGGCCCTGGGTTCAATCCTCAGCACCACATAAAAATAAACAAAATAAAGATATTGTGTCCAACTACAACTAATAAATAAACAAATAAATAAAAAAGAAAGCAATTTGAAATGAATTCTGGAGGGCCACTTATTTAAGTCCCACTTTAGTAGAAAAACTGTCAAGAATTCTATATTTTAGGATTTAATCAGTTTTACTGGGAGCAAAGAATTCTCTCCTGATTCTTTTACATCTTCAGGTAGCATCTAGGATGATGCAGGTGTATAGGGCACCTGAAAGTCACCCAATGGTGCTTTGGGCAAACATTCCTAAATGAATACAAGGCCACCAATGTTGTAAATTGGGGTTTCAGTTCAGAATTCTTTCAACCAATTAGTAGTTACTTTACATCTGGTTCCCCATAATTCATCCACTTCCCATCCAGTATCTCAAGTTGGGGCAGCTCTGGCTTGATCAAAGCCATCTTCCAGTGGCAGTTCCTCTATGACACTGAACAGATATGGCCCTGGGGACTGTGGGCACTACCAAGTTCAGGGGGGATGACTTCCCATAAGAACTAGCTCAGGGATGTGAAGGAGGAGGCCAGGTGCAGCAGAAACAAAGAAYGGAGGAAGCTGATGCCCTGGGGCCTGCATATGGGTTGTCAGCTGGGTCCCCTGGGAGCAGAATCTTCCAGAACTAGGGTAAAATTGTGGCTCCAGTCATCATTAACAGTGTGAACTTCCAGTACTAGACTTAACTTCCCTAAGTAGTTCCCTGATATATAAAGAGGGCTCAGCACCACCTGCCWAGTAGGTGGTGACAGATTCAGAGATCTTACAGGCAGTGGTACAAGATGAGCTGTAGTGGTATGTGGTGGCAAGGGACCACTACAGCTTTCAGGCCATTGCCACAACTGATGGAAATAAGTACAGTCAGAATGAAGCCCCCAGCAGACACCTGATTTCCAACCTCAGACAGAAGGCAAAGCCATTGGACCCTGGAGCAGATCTCAGCCCTGCCTCATCAGAACTGACATAGATATCTGCTACTGTGGTGGTCTTCAGGGACTGATGGAAGGAAGCCTGCATTCTGACCCTGCCCGCTGTTAGCCAGAATAGTTGCAGATATCTGTACCTCAGATTCCTTTTTTTTTAATGTTGTAGATGGACACAATACTTTTATTTTATGTGGTTCTGAGGATCAAACCCAGTGCCTTCTACATGCAAGGTGAGCACTCTACCACTGAGCTATAACCCAGCATGGCAAGAACTCTTAATACTGAGCAACACCCTCAACACCAGGCTCCTCTTTTCTCCTATTACTCAGTGATGTTTTTCCAGAGAGCAAAATCCCTGGAACAGATGGGTGGCTCCTTTGATAGGGTGTTATCTAATTCCATCTCATTTTTCTGAGAGAAAAGGAATCTGTTTACCCTCAACCAGGTTCTTGGGTGGAGGCCAAGGGGATCAGCTGTAGACACCGACCCTAAAAAAGCATCATATTTCATTTAATTCTCTCAATAATGTAAAAGGGAGTTACTGATACTGTTCCTGACAAATGACTASAGAAGGGAAATCACATATTCAGACAATAAAAAGGCAGGGCAAGTCTTGAACATACCTGTATGACTCAAAGCCCAGCTCTACCAAACCCACTATGTTACTTGCTAACAGACAGACACTGGTTTTGGTTTTGTGAGCCATGACTAAGGGCAATCTGATCCAGTCCTTCTCTCTGCTAGTTATTCCAGAAGCAATCTAGTTCAGGGCCACTGCATCAAGTCATGGCCAGGACTGCACACACCACGTTGGATGAATCCCCCCTTCAGGTGTCCCCTTCTATTTTCCTCTGCCAGAGACAAAACACTCAAAGTCTCAAAGCCCAGAACAGAGCTTTTTAGCAGCAGAATAGGTATTTGACAGTGTATCCACCCAGTGCTGGAGACATTATGAGAAAGGAAAATGACAGAATTCACTAAGCATGTTAAGTACCACTGGGACTCTCTTTTATAGTTATATATGATAAACATACGAGAAATGTAATCTGCAGAGGCGCACATGGAAGCATTTGATACTGAGATAGTCACTGCATTTGGGACTGAGTACCTAGCTCTAGTAGAAAAACCAAGGGAAAAAAAAAAAAAAGAAGCAGCTTAGAAAAGCCCAGTCCTGGGCGGGGGATATGGCTCAAGTGGTAGTGCGCTCGCCTGGCATGCGTGCGGCCTGGGTTCGATCCTCAGCACCACATACAAACAAAGATGTTGTGTCCACCGAAAAAACTAAAAAATAAATATTAAAATTAAAAAAAAAACAAAAACCCAGTCCTTTCCCAAGGACTGGCTTATTTATTTTTAGCACCAGGGATTGAACCCTGGGGCCCTTAACCACRTCTCCAGCCCTTTTTCATTTTTATTTTGAGACAAGGTCTCGCTAAATTGCTGAGGCTGGCTTTGAACTTGAGATCTTCCTGCCTCAGCCTTCCAAGTCTTAAGGGCCACCGCGCGCGGTCCAAGGCCTCATTTCTTTTTTTTTTTTTTTTTAAGATGTCTTTTTATTTTTATTTACTTATTTTAGTTGTAGATGGACACACAATACCTTTATTTTTATATGTGGTGCTGAGGATCGAACTCAGTGCCTCGCACGTGCAAGGCCAGCACTCTACCACTGAGCCCCAGTCCCGGGCTCATTTCTAACACTCTCCTCTGCTCATCAGGTYTCTAGGTGACCAGCCCCAGGCTTACCAATAGCGAACTCCACCAAGGTCTCATTCTCTTCCGACAGAGAATCGAGAAATAAATCCACGACTTGTAGTTGCCGCAGATACTGGTAGTTGCTGGGGTCATAGGCGAAGTTGGCAAGGTTGGCGAGGACTTGCTCCTTGGCGTCTGCGAAGGAACAGAAGCGCTGGAACCAGGCCCAGAAGGCGGTCGCGGCCGGACTCCTGAGGGTTCCCCYGGCGCCCACCCGCGCCTCTCACCTTGGCTCTCGGTTTCCTGGAATTCCGTGACCAGTGCCTGCAGATACCCCAGCCGCCCGACATGGGGGTCTACCTTCGGCTTCTGGGCCATGGTCGGGGCCGCGGAGGGCTTTCGCGGGACCGAAGGGAGAGGGGAAGGCGAGGCCCTAAGCCGGGCGAGAACCTCACCTGGCTCTCCACGGGTGGACAGGCGGCACGTGGGCTTCTTTCCTGGGTTCAGGTTCTGCTGGAACTTGAAGATGGAACTGATGTGAAGGCCGAGGAGTTGGGTTCGAAAATCCAAACTGGGAAACTAGGGGGCGGCGGCCAATGGAAGCACCGACTCCGACTCCTGAACCCCGGGCGGAAGCCGCGCTCCACCGGCTCTCAGGGAGCGGAAGGGGCGGGCCGGCCCCGGGGGCGGGGCTTCCGCTGAGTTCCGCCGAGTGCGTGCGCCGAGCGCTGCCCCTGGTGCTGGGGCTGCTGCGGTTGGGCACTGTGCGGCCTTGTACGAGGCTGCGTGGTGAGAGGCAGGTGGCGCCTCCAGGGCGCTTGGGAGCGCGCACAAGTCGAAGCCCACGCGGCTGAAGCACGTCCATACGCCCCACGCCCGCCTTCTCGATCCTCTGGAGCCCGGGGGTCGGCTCTCTGCGCCCCCATAGATCTGTTGCCCTTACGGTGGCCCCTCCAACCCCCAAACCCCCGTCGGGACCCGTGAGGATCCGCCACCTCTGGCCAGAAATCACGGGGACTGGGTCAGTCCTAAGGCTCTTTGTCAGCCAGGCGCAGCGGGGCAGCAATGACGAGCCCTGAAAAGCGCCTCGTTTTGCACAGAGGTACAATTCTGGATATTTTGGACGCTGGAGCCCATTGACCTGATTCCTGTCAGGGGTTTTCGGGAAAGTTTGATTGATGGGGGTCTCATGATCGCAGATGATAGGGCTTGTGGTGGTAGAGGTTTCGTTTGTGAGCTTTCTGAGGACAAGGGACCATGTACCTTCAGCTCTGAGCCTGCATTAAAGCAGAGTGGCCTCCACACTCTGAGGTTTAAGATCCCTGTGATCGGCCTCTGCCTGACACACAGCCTCAGGGCAGGGGTTTTGACCTCAGTCTGGGTGGTTGGGTTCCCTGGCTGCTCAGTGAGGGCTCCAGGCCTTTGGGCTTCTGTCGGGAGCCTATGCAGGCTCAGGGAAGTGCATCTCTGCTCAGGGTGGCCAGGGCTCTTCTCTGCCTCTCCCTGGACAATAGAGGCAAAGGCCTGGAGTTCAGGCCTGAAAGGGTGAGCCCCACCCGTCCTCCAGGAATTGTCCCAGACAGTTTCCATGTAATCAACTGAGTGGGTTCTGGAGCCATGTGGGTCACTCCAGTTTCCCTTTTTTATGTTGGTTGCTGGGTCTGCTCCCCACTAAAACACTCAGGGGTCACTCCAGGGGAACTGGGCTAATTGGGCTGCGGGAAATAACCACACAAGAGACAGAAATACTTTTTTTTTTTTTTTGAGGGGGCGGTGCTGTGCCTGCTTCTCTGACCTTAAGGGTCTACAGAGAGAGAATGTGCTGACCCCTTTTATTGAGGAGAAGCTATTCAAATGAGGCAAGGGGTCATGTTTCAAGGGGCTGAGTCTAGCTTCAGGATGTCTGCTGTCAGCAGGTTTACTGACATCTAGGAAGGCCACACCCAAGGGCACAGTAAGAGAAGGGGACATACAAAAGGCATTTCCAAGGAACATTCTATCCTAAACAGGGCAAGGGGTAATATTACAAAGGAACAGGTGAGCATAGCTCCACCCATGGGGCTGTAGGAAGGCACGCCCATGCACGAGTCACAGTCACCCTAGAAGACCAAGGTTATCCAGCAGCTTGACCAATGACCACCGCTGGCCACACCGCTCAGCAGGGGAGTCAGACCCAGTCACTTGCTAGTCAGCCTCCCACATTTGGTCTTATCCTCTTCCTAAGGCTTCAGGGACCCTCCTCGTGAAAGAATTCTTAGTCCTTGGTTTTGGGCTGATGACAGCAACCAGGTCTTATTCCTCTACCCAGTCTGTGGCACAAATAGATTTTTTTTTTTTTTTTTTGTGATGCTGGGGATTGAACCCAGCACCTTATGCATGCAAGATGCAAGGCAAGCACTCTACCAGCTGAGCTATATTCCCAGCCCCACAATAGATGGTTAATTAATATTTTCTTATTTATTGGACCATTCCACTCTTCTTGCTTTTTTGCTACTCTTGCGTGGAGACAGGAGAGGTCAGAATTCCCTATACTGAAGGTTCCTGGATATATTTTTTTCCTTATATGTTTTCAAGAAGTGGACCATTTAGGAAATACACAGCATCTTAAAACCTGATGGACCTACCTACCAGCCACACTTCTCTTCTTCACTCAGTTGAGATGGAAAAATGTATCATTTCAGAACACAAGCTACAGCTATTGACCAAGCTCAGTTGGGTGGGAGGCAGAAAGGCAACAGGAATCTTAAGTATACTCACATAATCAGACTTTTCAGATTGGAAGAGATGTTGGCTCATCCAGAGATAAACAGTTTGCCCAAAGTCACACAGTAAATTGTGGCTGAGTCAAACCTATATCCCAGCCCAGTGTCCCTTGCCATATCTCTGCACTACCTTCTCTGGCCATAAGAGGGCACTTGTGATGGGTCTTGGGACACCACAGCCCCAAGGATGGACATTCAAGCCAGATGGACAGGTGGAGGAGGAAGGCTGGCATCAGGTCATAAAAACAAAATAATTTTTCTTGATAAGGTTTTCTTGCTGGAGCCTGGTTGAGCCTGAATCAGCAAACATGGTCCTAAGCCCAAGCAGCCCCTGCCAAGCTGGGAGAAAGGAAAAGGGAGGGAGGAAACTACTCCAGACCTGTTTTCTGCCCTTATTAGTTCAGAGTTTATGACCCACTGCAGGGAACATTTTTGTGTATAATTCAAACAAACTCTGTTTTCCTATTCCCTGGGGTACCCTGCTGGGACAAGCCTAGGCTGATGACAGCCAGTCCTAGGTGATGACTTCAGAGAAGGGCAACAAYAAAGTGGGGAAGCCCTGGCCTCCAGGCTGCAGGGCCAGGCCATCAGGGAGTGGGGATGGACTAGCAGCTGGCCCAGGCTACTACTTGCCCCAGAAGTGACACTTCTAAGCACCAGGGAGAAAAGGGTTCTCTGGAGTCAGGGAAGGTTACATGAAGTCTTCTGTTGCAAGCAGCCCTATTTCTCACAGTGGTGCACTGCCTGGTGAGATTTCGCCTCCCTGGGTCAGCCAGATGTCCTGCTTTCCSCTGACCCAGCATCACTTTTCCCACCAAGGCTATAGGGTGGGCCAAAGGAGGAGGAAAGCCCTGGAGTAACCTACTGGGATGACAAGGCACCCCTCAGGCTTTCCCAATTCTGGGGCCCAAGCCAGCGATTCCCCTCCTCTCTACAGGATTTTAATCTGGCTCCATCCTACATCTAGGCCCACTCCTCAGCCCTGTCTTCCACTACTGCCTGTCTCAGGGCTCCAGTCAGCCAAGCCCAGCCAGTTGTGTGGGGGCAACCACATCCACAGTCTTGGCTGCCCTGAGGGTGAAGATGGACAGGAGGGTGAGCTCTTCAGAACTGTCTGGAAGCCATGGAAAGATAAGCAGAGCTGATGTTGGAGGTATAAAGGTTTGGCGTGAAGGTCCAGTGTGCTGGGTTGTAGGAACGTCATTCATGGCCCAAGGCCCACTGAGCTTAACTGGCCCTGATACATGGAGCAGGGATCAGACCCACCTTCTGGGCCCAAGGAGGAAAGCCTATTCCTGGTTTCTGCTGACTGGAAGGAACTTTGTGTCTTCAGAGACTGGCCTCCAAGTTTCCAGGTCCTGGCTGAGTCCCAACTTGCAGAGCCTGTACAACCTTCAATCCAGGCCTCCCAGGCTACCTTCTATACCAGCACCCTTCAAAGCAGCTGGAAGCCCTGTTCCTGGGTTGAGAAAAGGTTCACTGAAGGCTCAGATGCTGGTCACACATGTGACCCTTGAAGCTCAGACACTGGTCACATACATGACCTCAGAACACAGATGCTTCTTGGGATCGTCCTTGTCTTCCAGGGTTGGATCCTTTACTGGGGTGGCCTCTGAAATGGCTCCTTTGGCCTTGGCTTCCCTGCCCCGCCACTCCTTCTTCTGCAGGGTATAGAAGCTGCCACCCATAAAGAGGGCAGCTGAGATGAGGAAGAAGCTTGACATGAAGAAAACATAGCTGAAGTTGTTGCTGGTGTCCAGGAGGAACCCTGGGGAGCAGAGAGCAAGTTAGGCCACTGTCTGGGGCTACCACAACCCACCCCTACACTGTAACTRTTCCTTAGTGATAGGAGGGATTTTATTTCTGAGTCTTCTAGATAAGAAATTATTGCTGGCCCCCACCAGGGACTCATTAGATTACTGAATGGAAGGAAGGGAGGAAGCAGTAGGCCTACCCTGGCCTGGTCAGGAGTCCTCAGACCGGAAGAGAGATTTCAGGCATGATTCCCTTACCCTTGGTGTCAGGGAGCAAGGAGTCAAGGCTAGCAGAGTCTGAGATGTCTTCTGAGCCTCCTCCTAGTCCCATCCTTATCCCCTCCTGGAGAGCTTCCTTCTCTTACTTGCTTGGGGAACCCCCTTGGAAATCTGGACATCTAATACACACTGTCAGAGGACTGGACAAATCTTCCCCCGTTTACTATCAAAGTCACTCTCAGCTGCCCAGCAAGCTGTCCCCCGTGGGTCTCTCCTTCCAAATCATGTTTTCCTTCCCACATAAGTCACCACTGTGGTCATAACTGTCTCTTTGCTTCTACTCTCGACTCCTCCATCGGGAGGTAAGCCCCATGAGGATGGTTTTGGCCATGTGCACTCAGTGACTGGCCTGGGTGAATGAATGGTCAGAGCAGGTGCTCTCTTCTGCATTTTTGCAGTCTTCATTGTGGCTCAGAGAAGGAAAGTGACTTGCTTGGGTCCCACAGGTAGGGAGTAGGGGAACCAGGATGCTAATAATAGTAAGTGTGGGCCCAGCCCTTATGCACTTGGCTCTCTACTAAGTTCTTTACTGGGCGCCTCACAGCAAGCCCATGAGGCAGATCCTATTATCATTCCCACATCTCTGAAAAGAAAACAGAGAGGAAGGTGGAGTCAGGTCTAAGTCTGGTGTGCAAATCCATATTTTCAACTCTTTGTACCCTGTGTGCTAGGTGGGGAACAGGCTATAGCACAGTTCCTGGGTACCTGGGATAACCACGAATCCCAAATCCCTGCCCTTGGAAATGAGAGTGGACTAGGCCCACATCTGTCTGGACTGTTCCCCTTTGCCCCGACTCCGTACCCTGCCCACCCAGCCCCCATCTGGGCACACCTGGCTGCTCTCCCT